TTCACTTTGTAGTTTTTGTGTAATGTCATATTTTCTAAAATACTCACGTTAAAGTCATTAGAGCACAAAAAAATGCACTTAGAAAGCTTCCCATAGAAATATTATATAATATTTCATGAGTCCGAATTTTTTTTACATGAATTTCATCCTTGGCTTCAGCCCTAACAAAATATAATAAAATATGTGTGTGTTTCTCAGATTTAACCCCTTTATTGCCAGGTTTATTAGCAAAACCCGAAGTTTGAAAACTGTACAAAAAATGAAAAAATCAAATCATATTTTGTGTGTTATGTCCAGATGACCTTTTTTGTGGGTAAGTTGTCACAGCCTTGGAGTGTCACAAATAGGCATAAAAATATTTTTTGCTCACTTTGTAGTTTTTGTGTAATGTCATATTTTCTAAAATACTCACGTTAAAGTCATTAGAGCACAAAAAAATGCACTTACAAAGATGACCAGTTGAACACTTTATTAAAGCACACGAACAAAGAAAAAGTGTGTGTGTGTGTGTGTGTGTGTGTGTGTGTGTGAGAGAGAGAGAGAGAGAGAGAGAGAGAGAGAGAAAGAGAGAGAAACACAGAGGGGAGTGAGCTAACAGCTGCAGGCTGAGCACACAACTGTTGAGTGCTCCTTGCACACAGCCTGTCCACATGCATGGTAAAAGCGTGCATGCACGCTCCTCTTCCCTCTGCAAAGGTGGCATCTTTTCTTTGTCTGCTCCTGGGCTGGACCTGGCTCCACTTGCTGCTGCACCTCCAACAGAGCTGCAGCGCTGCTGGACCGCGGCAAGCGAGTGCGCCTCGCCTGGGCTGGTCTCACCATGGAGGTCCCAAGCTCCTGCAAGAACAGCCTTCGACGGATGCTCCTCTTCTGTTGGTTCCAGGCCGGTTCCACAGACAGCCACAGGACCAGGGCATTGTAGGCGCTCACATCTAACATGTTGCAGAAGAGCGACATGGGCCAACGTCTGGTCTTGCGGCGGCAGCTGTATGTTGCAACGAGCTGGAATAAAAATAAATGAATAAATAAATTACATATGCAATTAGGTTGGTGAATTATAATAAAACAAAATAAAATAAATAAATTACCTTGTCCAAGTTGTCAACTGCCCCTTTGCAGCGGTTGTAATCGATGATTACGGTCGGCTTCTGCTGCGGTCCCTCCTGGATCTGAACCTGATGGTGTTTGGTGCTGAGGAGCAGAACGTTCCGCCGGCGCTTTGGAATGTAGCTCACCGCGGTGGCGGTGGAGGTGAAGCCGAACAGGGAGGACAGAACCGCTCTGCTTTTCATCTGGAGCAGCTGTGGGGGCAACTCTGGCTTGTTGCGCCTAACTGTTCCCACAAGACAGATTTTTTTTTTAGCAGCTCCTCTCCAAGAACCAGCGAGGTGAAAAAATTGTCCGTGGTGACAGTGCGGCCGCTCAGACCCTCCGTGAGTTCCAGCACCACCCGCTTCCCTTGCCCCCTTTCTGCCGGGGCGTCTCGAGTCGTCTTGCCCAGATAGGGAATAATCCCCCAGGCATAAGAAGTGGCCACATCGCACACCACCCACAGCTTGATGCCATATTTTGCCGGTTTTGAGGGCATGTACTGCTTGAAGTTGCAGCGACCTCTGAATCCGACGAGCTGTTCATCAACGCAGACATCTTCACCGGGGTTGTAGGCGAGAGGGAGCCGGGCCGCCCAGAGGTCCCACACTTCCCGCAGGGGAGCGAGCTTGTCCTGCTGCACCAACCGGCGGGCTGCCCTGGTCAAGCGGTCATCAAAGCGCAATGTTGCAGTCAGCATGTGGAATCTTCCCAAACTCATCGTGGCTCTGAATATCGGCCTCCCCGTTTCCTCCCCCCAGAGGCTGGCAGATGATTCCCCACGGGAACGGTGCACACCAGCGAGGATGAGCAACCCAAACAATGCCCGGAGTTCCACGCGGTCAACGTCTGTCCAATCGTCATATTTTCTTCTTCCCTCTATATTGATGTATTTTATTATTACATCTAGGATTGTTGTAGTTAAAAAAAAAATCGAAGCTGTCCTCAATAGTTTGGATGTAGCTGACAGCGAGGCGGGTGATCCCACAATGGCGGACGTCTGGAGCCCGAAAGGGGATCCTGGTGTTGGGTGTCGGGGACCAGGCGATCCCGCTCTTTGATTGCCACAAAGGATGGTCCCATCTCTCCTCTGCAGCAACCACCTCCTCATCTGAACCTTCTTCCATTTCTTCCCCTGAATCAGGCCCTGGGGTAAAGGCCTGATCTTCAGCCTCTTCATCCGAACAAGAGCTGTCATCCGTGGATGAGGATGAGGCTGACTCTCCCTCTTCCTCAAGCTGCTGAAACACCTCCAGGGCTTTATTCACATTGAATCTTCTTCTCATGGTTGCGGTTCAAAGAAATGAATCCTGATCTGAGTCTCATATATGTACTTTTAGTCAATTGGTGCACCTGTGTAAGCTGCCCCTACTGAATGTAAACAAAATTCGATTCTGCAGGAATTTGTTTT